GAGAGAGAGAGAGAGAGAGAGAGAGAGAGAGAGAGAGAGAGGACTCCTAGTGATCCTCCTGATTTCTGCCTCCCTTTACAGGCATGGGTAATACTCCCAGACTCCATCACCAGCTCAGCGCAACCCGAGAGCAGGACCAGCATGGCATGTGTTGCCAGGGATTGAACCCTGGCCCCTGTGCTTACCTAAGCAAGCACCTAGCTCACTGAGCTATATTGCTGGTCCTTACTGAAGAAGATCTTGATGCCAGCATTTCTTACCACACTGCCTTACAATAAAAAAATTAAGAAAGGAGACAACATCTAGGGGCAGCATGACTACATTTGTGACTAGTTAAGCAGTCAACAGTCCAACCCCATCACCTGTCTTAACTTTCTTAACACTGGTAGTGAAAACCCAGCCAGTTGGATACAAGAGAGAGAGAGCCCCTCCAAACTACCACACTAAGGAAGATATACTGCAGAAATAAAGCAGAGGGTGGTGATTGAATTAAGACTGATGATTCCTAGGGACAGAAAGAAACACGGGAAGGGTTCTGGACAGAGGGAAATGAGGCAAGGCATGCAGCAGATGTGACAAATGTGATGCTAGACATAGAAAAGAGACAGTAGACCAGTTCAAGAGTGGGTACTTGAACTGGCATGCAAATCATCATGACTTTCTGTGTGGAAGAGATAATCCACCATCAATCTTACCATCCAAACACCACAGAAAAGGGAATTTGTGCAGGACCCATTACACCACCCACAATGAAAAGGCAAACTAGGAGCCCACAGGCTTGCCTGACCATTGGTCTCCAAATATTACAGAGGTCCAAGCAAAAAGGCCTTCCAAGTTCTGTATACCATTGAGTTTATGCACTGGATGGAGAATCTATGTGAGGTATGAACAAAGAAATTTAGAGCACAGACAATGCCAGGAGTGGTGCGAGTTGCCTGGCACGCTCACACGAAAATCATGGAGGGAGCAAAGGTTGACACCTACAAGAATATCCATGGAGGGAAGAGAACAGGAGTGAAAACTGCTAGTGCCCAGAGGTCCGTAGAGGTTCTGGAGGACCTTGACCAGTCCCACGCAGCCCTATCCTCTTCTGAAATAGTTGAAACTTCGATCAAATCCTAGAACATGCAAGTCATATACTCAGAATTGCATCGGAACTTTGACAGAGTCCTGCCTTCAGGAGGAAGCAGAAGCCAGCTCAGTGATATCTCCAGAGAGGACCTTTTATTTTGTGTTGTGTGGGTGTTTTTTTTTTCTTTTTAATCCTTTCATTTTCTTTATCATGTTGAAGAGATTAATATAGAAAAAAGAAGCAAATACATGTGATGTTTAGTGAGGTGGGTTTTTTTTCAGTTTATCCTGCATGCATGCTTCCCATTTTGGCAAATCACTAAAATGAAAAAATGAAAAGTTCAATCATCATAAATCAGTGACTATATACAAACTGTAATTAAACATAAAGTAGATATAAGATATTGTGGAAATGTGTAAGTAAATGGAATGAATACTAGTGTATCTAACAATCAGTTTAATAATAAATAGCACAGCTATTACCCCTGAAATCCTTCAGTACACTTCCCTGAATCATATCATCTTTTATGAGCCCACAGAAGTATCTGGCATTTAAATTTTATCATTCCTTTGCTTTTCTTTAATTTTACCAAATATAATAGCATCCATAAAGAATGCAGTGTTCAGATTTACAAGAGGTATAAAATATGGTAAA